CGTACGTACGTACGTACGTACGTACGTACGTAACTTAAACGTTAACGTAACGTAACGTAAACGTAAAACGTAAAACGTAAAACGTAAAACCGTAAACGTAAACTAAAAAAAAAAAAAAATAAAAAAAAAAAAAAAAAAAAAAAAAAAAAAAAAAAAAAAACAAAAAGGTTCGTCCCCACGTTGTCGTATATTGCTCACGCATGCACACTTTTCAAAACTATTTACAACGAGTTTTTTTTTCGCAAAATCATGAATAATCGATACTTAAAAAACCTCTGGTATTATCCTCTCCTTTATCAGTCCCGTTCGTCGAACGTACAGGAGGGTCCAGTCTTTTCATTTCATTTCTTAGCAAGGTTCATCCTCGCGACTTTATCCTTATGCATTATGTATTCACCACTTATATCGTTATTATCTTTTTCTGCTTATTCGTCCTCTTATTCTTCGAAGTACAAACGCGTGCGAGAAGAATGACATAAAGAGAAGAAAGAATAAAAAGAGAAAGGTTATGTATACGCGAGTTAGTTAAGTCAATCGAACGATTCATCGATTAATTTTAAGAATGAAAAAAAGAAAAAAAAAAATAAGCCACGTTTCTTCTCCTTTTTTCATTCCTCCCGTGTACTTCTCCGTTTCAACGCATGATTCGATAACGCTTTGAAAAGAAACGCATAATGTAAATACAAAAAGCGCAAAAAAAGAAAACGCTCCCTTTCGAAAACTCAAAGCGAACCGAAACCTCGTTGAAACAAAGAAATAAATACAACGCGTTCTCTTTCGCGTTTTTTGTACCTATTTCTCGCAGATTAACAACGAATTTTTCCATCGACGGACGACTTCAATTTTGTCGTCGACAAAAGTCGGTCTCGCGAGACGACGGACGGTCTGTCTAGATGGCCGTTGTCGAGAATAATTTTAGTTGCCGCCGTGCTTGGCGAGGAATTTCCAAGCGTAACGATATGCGGGGATGGAAGTTGATGATGATCGGGCGAATGACTCGCGGATATCATAACAGGGGATCGATTCGCGCACGGTGGTGACGGGCACTCGACTTTCGGTGAGTGAGTCTCGAGAAGTTGCGGATGTTGATGGTGTTGGTGCTGTTGTTGCTGTTGTTGCTGCTGCTGCTGCTGCTGCTGCTGTTGTTGTTGTTGTTGTTGTTGCTGGGAAACGATCATATCGTAGTACATTCCAGAGGATGCAGACTGATAGGAAACGATCTGGGTGGCGGATTGAGGGCTTCCGTAAAGGCTGCTGCCGTAGCTCACTTGGGGCATTCCGGCATGGCTCATCCTTAACTCGCCATACGTGTCTGTGCAAATATTGAAATATAGTGTAAAGGTAAAATCAAGGCATCTTGTTGTATGGACATCAACAAATTGTTATTATGGATAAGACAAAATGAAATGAGATCGTAGACCAGTGGTTCCCAATCTGTGTGAGTCGCGATCCACAAAGAGTCGTTTTTTTAATTAACGACTTTCCCTTCAACAAAACGATTCAACATTCTTCTCCGTCGCATAAAACTTTATGCGAACAATTATCAAGTTACTTGAAATAGAGAAGGAGGTTCGCAACTCAAAAAAGTTATGAGAAATACCGGCCTTGTAGACCTACCGATCGCATTGGAATTCGTACCAGGTTCTAATTTCAAGCTATTGTTGTTGTTGTTATTGTTGTTGTTGTTGTTGTTGTTGTTGTTGGCCGTGGTGATGGTCGTGTTGTTATTGCTCACTCCCGCGACATTCCCGGCGATCGGCGTGTCACTAGACTTCATCCCTCCCTTCGGTTTCCTCTTTCGCGTCTGAATGCTGTCTTTCTTCATGGTGTGAGGCCTGTTCACCCCGTGCAACTTGAAATAAAGGCCGCACGCGTTGCAAACAGGCTCGCCCAGAGTGTTGCGACGCCATAACGACGTCATCGTCGTTTGACAATTACTGCAAGAAGTGCCTACTCGTCTTGAAGCGGACTGCGGACACATGAAATCTCGTTAAAAACCGTGTTTACGATTCTGTTCGTATACTACGGGCGACGTTTGGACAAAATTTGGACGAAATACGAGGGCTCGGGGAAAAAGGAGGAAGGGGAGGAAGAGGAGAGCGAGAGAGATGAACAGAAGGACGTAAAGGACGAGCGGAAAGCGAGCCACTTTTTTTTGACTTCTTTCCGACCAGAGATGATAGAGAATGGGACGATAGAGAGGGGGGAGGCGGGTTCAATGAAAATAAGCAAGATAAATAGGAAAGTAGGAACAGAGACGGATGAAACAGAGGAAAAAAAGTCTTACGTCTACCGTAACTTATGATCGAATTGAGCTCAAACGTTGACTCGTGCGCAGCGACCGCGACGCGTTCAACGATGTCGCGCGCGCGCGCGCGAGACAACGTGATTGGCTAAAACTCCCCGCGCGAAATCACGCGAGCCTGTCACTAAACTTGACGAATAAAAAGTCGCTGAGTGTCGAGACGAGAAGAAATTGAATTGATCTTTCTCCCGTTTTCTTTTTTTCTTTTCTTTTTTTTTCTTTTCTTTTCTTTTCTTTTTCTTTTTTTTTTTCTTTTTTTAATCTATAACCGTTCTACCAGGCTACGCAAGATTTCGAAACGGAGCACGATTGTACCATGGGCATAGTGGCACCTCGAAGCTATAATTAATTTTCAACCGGTAATCGTTTTCTACTTGCGAGCTACGATGGAAAATAGACGTCGTTTTTCTCTATTTGAATCGTCGAGAAAAATGCATCGAATTTAAGCGGACAATGGAAAAAAGAATAAGCGTACGATGAAAAGTGATCGAGAATAGATCGATGAATAAATGTAGTTGTGGTCGGAATAAGAGAAATAAAATAAGAGGAGAGGAATAGCGGCCGACAAGAGCTAACGATAGAGAGAGAGAGAGAGAGAGAGAGAGAGAGAGAGAGAGAGAGAGAGAGAGAGAGAGAGAGAGAGAGAGAGAGAGAGAGAGAGAGAGAGAGAGAGAGAGAGAGAGAGAGAGAGAGAGTAGAG